ACATGCAGTGCGTCGGCCTCGAGACCACGCCCGAGACATGGTATGTTCCATCTTTCGTCATGGCCATTGTCAAGTCTCAGCATCAATAGGCTCTGTCCGCTCTGTCGGCCGCGAGCTGCAGCATCCTCCGAGTTGGTGCCAGAGAATTGTACAACAAGCCATCCAGTGTATAGATTCTGTATCGTCTTGTTCTAGTGTTTCGCAAGCCGGCGCTCAGCACAACTTACGGCGACATGATCTCGCACGCGCTTCGTTCTATGCCCCGCGGCGAGGTAGATGCGACTTGATTCCTTGATACTTTTGCGCCAACGGGAATGCGCAGGGAACGTTCAAAGACATTTGCGAGTACATTGAAGCGCAGTATGAAAGTCAGCTCAACTGGAAGCTCGAAAGGTATATACACATAGTCAATAGCGCTGTCGACTGATGGACGATCGTCGCTAGCGACCAGCGCAAGTCGCCCGTGTGGAAGTCGTCGGTGCGAAAAATCCTGTTTTCAAACTCGCGTTTCAAGCGACATGCGATCATCAAGGGCGTGTTCTGCCTCGTGCCGTCAGCAGCAGCGTAGATAGAGCACAGACAAGTTGTCATTGATAACGACGACGGATTCGTTATTGGTTGAGAAGGACATTGGGCTAGAGATAGCTCAACGGCGCTAACCTCTCGACGGGGTAGACGCAGCATCGAATAAGCTTCCGCTACTAGTATGTCACTTGATACTTGTAGTAACGTTACCCAGTCATTCCACAGCCGCAGCGACCTCTGCAAATGAGTGTCGTTCGTAGTGCTCAAGCCTACCAGTTGCCAGTAGTCTAGCCTTCTCAAACCAGTGGACTGCGCAGCTTTTCGAATCCACGATATCAGTACAGAATTCCAGTACAGTGTGTCGCAAGCCTCGAATTGCTGAGTTGTTCAAGCAGCGTTGGTGATGGTCCCAGAGACTATCGGGAAACACAAACGTCTCGCAAATGTACCTCAAAATGGGTTTAAACTTGATACTTGTATACTTGTTGTTGTAATGCGACAATATTACGACGAATGGGCCGTCGTTTTTTATCCGGATGCGATTGGTTGTCAAAAGCGCAACGCCGGCAAGGGACGCCACTTGCAAACCATCGAGATGGACGACGAGGCAGGCTTCACCAAGTTCGTTAGCGGCGATACCGTCTACGCCCGCGCGCGCCGCCTCCACCGCGCGACGACCGGCCGTACGACCAAGCGCTTCGTCGCCAACTGGGACCTCGAAATTTACCTCGAGACCATGCGTCGGACGCCGCCGCCGCCGGTGAACCGTCACGTGCGAGACGCCGCCCGCA